AAAACTAGAATATTTAGCTGTTATAAATGGCCATCTCTGAGACAGCTTCTTTTTCCTCTTACTGTGGAATCATTCCAAGTGAAAATAAAGTTACAATAAAGTTGAAATAACTTGGATTTGAGGTGGATTTTTTGCTTGGGTACAGGAGGAATATGCTGAAAAAGGAGAGACCCCTAAATCTGTAGTACATTGACATAAAATGGTTGAATGGTGTGCTGCAGAGTGCTGCTGTACCTCTCAAAGACAGCTGAGAAACCTGAACTGGGTATTAGTTAGCAAGTGTATGCTTCTGGAAATGTTTTCAAAGACCACAGTCAGTCTAACTTAGTCCATTCAGCTGCACAATTAGTTTTATTTTTATTTTTTCCTTTCTTACCTGGCGCAAATAGAGGCTGAAAAAGCATTGTATTATTTTATTTTTGTATCTGCCTCTGTTTTGTGATGGCTTGGTGTATTCCTATAGTAATGGAAAATGTATATTTGTGTTATATGTATATTTGTTCCAAAACACATTTCAATGTTTTACTTGTGCCAGTATTACACAGTAAGGGAAGAAAAGACATTATCTTTATTGATAATACTTAAACAATGCTGTTGGCTATATTTAATAGTATACATTTTTGGTTTCTCACAATAATAGCAAGGCAGACTTCTGAGGTAACTAGAGAATTAATAACATTAAAAGCTAAGCACTAACAAGAATTAAACCAAGAGAAAATTAATTTGCTGTAAAGCTTCATCTAGGTTTTACATATTTTACTGAGACCAGAGAGCTTTGAGGAAATGATTTTTAACAAAAAGCAGCAGGGAGAAGGTGTTCACATGTTAATTGGCAAGAAATGAAAAGTTTAGAACTTGCAACTGCAGAGTTGGTCTTGTGTGACTTGAGACGTTGTAGACAGGTGTGGAAACATCTTATTTGTTGTTTCCTGGATCTCCCAGGGTTTTGCACTCTCTTTCTGATATGGGAATTCATTACCCCTTTGGAGCAGCAAGCTTTATCTGGGTATGGCGTAAGCTTTATCTGGTGAAGCATGCCACATGGTTTATATGGGAAATAATAACCTTGTGTATGTGAAATAATAACAATAACCTCAAATGCCAATGCAGTGCCTTCACTGGAAGAATCACAGAATCAAATAGGTTGGAAAGGCCTCAGATCAAGCCTAACCTATGACCCAACACCATCATGTGTACTAAACAGTGGCACTTCTGTCTTTCTTTAAATGCCTGCAGGGATGGTGACTCCATCACCTTCCTGAGCAGTCCATTCCAATGTCCTACCCTTTTCAGTAGAGAAATTCGTCCCAATGTCCTACCTCAACTACACCTGATGCATATTAAGAGTCTGGCCTCTCATCCTGTTGCTGATTGCCTGGGAGAAGAGGCCAACCCACACCTGGCTACACTCTCAGGTGGTTGTAGAGAGTGATAAGGTTCCCCTTCAGCCTCTTCTTCTGCAGATTAAATAACCCCAGCTCCCTCAGCTGCTCCTCACAGGACTTGTGCTTATTTGGGTATTGGTTATTATTAATGTGTTCTTCTTTCCGCTGTGGTGCCAGAGCAGCCATGCTTCAGGGGCAGGGTGTACATCTTCACAGCACCACAGAGTAAGCCAAGGTGTGGAAGGGACCCGCAGCAATCATCCAGTTCAGCTCCTGGCCAGGGGTGTCTCCTGCACAGGATACCCCAAGATCACACCATGTGCTTGAGAGCCTTGCACAGTCACACCTTGAACTCAGGTTTGGCGCTGTGATCACTCCCGTGGGGAGCCTGTTGCAGTGCCCAGGTGTTGTGGACAGGCTTACAAAGGAACTTTAAAATAACAAAAAAAGAGGCCAGTTAAGTAAAAACAAGTAAGCCTGTTTATTACAAACCGAACAACTGGAAGCAAAAGCCTCTAAGTGTAACCTAGAGGTATTTCCAAAGAAACCGGCTCCAAGGACAGACCCGGTGTCAGACACCCCAGGCCTTTTAAAGTCTCTCTCTTGTCTTCTGGTTGGGATGCTCAGGATCCGTGCTGTGACAGGTTGTTAACTACATTTCTAATCACAATTTGTTACTTGTACCAACAACCTTTGACCTTGTATATACATTGCAAACTCCATTCCCCAAAAGTTTAAATTTTATGTTTTTGTTCGTAACACAAGCACCCTCCGGGTGAGGAACCTTTCCCTGATACCCAGCCTGAACCTCCCGTGACACAACTTCAGGCCATTCCCTCGGGTCCTGTCACTGGTCATCTCGGAGAAGGGATCCGTGCCTGCCCGCCCCTTTCCCTCTGGAGGCAGATGTGCGCAAGCGCGGCCCTATCCCAGACGGAGCCGGAGCCTCGGCGCCGCATTCCCGCCGGGCAGGGGACGCCGGCGGGACCCCTGGGTCCGCCCGGCCGGCAGGGGGCGCCGGCGCGTGCGGCCGCGG